AAGCGATGTCCTCCACAACTAGACTGAAGAAGAAGAAGAAGAACAACAACAACAAAAAAAAACGATAGCAACTTGTCTGTTTCCCTTCCCCCGATGCCCCAGCACTGTTCTAATCCCCCCAATACCCCAATGAAAAAAAAGAAAAAAAAAGAGTGCACACTCTAACCATTGAGCCATCCGGCCACCTGGCAGCAGCTCAGGGCAGCTCAGCTCAAGGTGCCGTGTTCAATCTTAGTTGAGGGTGAGCGTAGCCCACCATCCCATCCAGGAGTCCAACTGGCAACATAATTGTTAGGAGCACATACTCTCACCAGCTGAGCCATCCTGCCACCTGTTGACAGCTCAGCGGCAGCTCAGCTCGTGCTCAGCTCACTGGCCCATGTGGGAATCAAACTGGCGACCCTATTGCTCAGAGCTCGTGCTCTTAACCAACCGAGCCACTTGGCCAGGCCTAACTTTGTCTTCTTTTAAAAGTTGGGGCTATTGTGCATCCTTTGTATTTCCATGTGATTTTTAAAAACAGCCTGTCATTTTCTAAATAAAAGCCTACTGGAATTCAGAATGTAATTGTGCTGAATCTGTATAGATCAATTTAAGGAGAATAAGCATATTAATAAACAATATTAAGTCTTCTAATTCACAGACAAGGTTTATTTATTTATTTAGGTATTTAATTGTTCTGAACAACCTTTTTCTAGTTTTCATTGTGCAGGTTTTGTGTATTTTTTGTCAAATTTAACCCTGAGTATTTCATATTTTTGATGCCATTATAAGTGATATATATTTTTTTAAATGGGGAATTGGGAGAGGGGAACAGAGAAGTTGCTGTCCTTTTGTTCTTCAGTCTAGTCGTGGAAGACGTAACTTCACTGGCCCATGTTGGTATTATCATTGCGCTCTTCCTGGGTGAGGCAGTCGCTCGCCGGCCATTGGACGGCCACTGATGGCAGCTCATGAAAGCTCACACTCACTGCTGGCCAGCCCCACTGCAACCTACACCATCTCCTGCGACTCACAGCAGCCCAACTCCAGGTCGAGCTGTTGTTCATCATCCTAGCTGTAGAGGGCACAGCGTCACTGGCCTGCATGTGGGACCCGAAACAGGGCCCTGCTGCTCAGAGCTGGCATCCCAAGCCAACTCTTAACCAATGCGCCACTCGACTGGCCCGTAAGTGATATTTTTGAATTTCAATTTCCAATTGCTTGTTAGTACAATATATGGAAATAATATTAATTTTTATATATTGATCTTATATCCTGAAATCCTCCTAAACTCCTTTATTAGTTCTAGTAACTTTTTTTGTAAACTCAAAACAAGATACCACTACACACCTATTAGAATGGCTAAAATGAAGACTGACCGTAACAAGTGTTGACAAGGATGTGGAGGAAGTGGAATTTTTGTACACTACTGCTAGGAATATAAAATGTTACAACTACATACTTTGAAAAACACCTTGGCAGTTTCCTAAAAAGTTTTATATATATATATATATATATATATATATATATATATATATATATATATATATATATATAT